ATAGGCCGGTGCAATTTTGTCAAAAGTGGCCACTAAATTCCACAAAGATGGCTAACTCCCAATTGCATTTTCACTTTTCATTTATTGCCTTATGTTAGATTTTGCCTATAAATAGCTATGTTCCCTTCGTTGTATGCATAAGTTTTAATCCAAAAATTTTAGTTTATAATTCTCCTCTGTTGAGTGAGGTTCGTGAGAGTGGATTTTCTCAATTTATCTTTGTATTTTAGGTCTTGCCAACCTAAGTGGTGAATCTGGCAATCGAATTCATTGTAGTGGGATTTTAAATCTCGCCAAAATCGGTGTTTCGGTATCGGCTCCTATGCCATTTGGTATTAGAGCCAATATATTTGGAGTCTGCACGTCATTCTGAGCGTTCTGGTGAAAACCCGGTCAACGAATAAGGTAGCACGTGCCTCCACGCGCCACCGTCGTTGTCTCACGCGTTGGCCATTCGCACCACTGCAAATTGCGTGAACATCACGCGCCGGTCATCTTCAACCTCTTATTCCACATGTCATTAGCCATGCCATCGACACGTCATCAGCCACGTCATCATCCAGTCACGGCCACATCATCTATTGCCACGTCATCTATGCCACGTCACTTGACACGTCATCAGCCACGACGGCGACACGTCATCACTGCAGCCGCACTCTTTTACCATGTCATCAAGTTCCTCAACTTATTTTGACCTTACAGATTGATCCCATAATTTTATAAATTTCAAATTACCCCCACTTTCAAATACTAACTTTCTAAAAAGCCCCTTACCAACCTAAACTCATCATGCCTCCTAGAAGACAAAATCCTCCTCGTCAATGAGCTGTTCGGGACATAGAAATGGAAGAACTACGTCAACAAATTCAAAGGCTTCAAGAAAGACTTGAAGCTTTTGAGGGACAACAAGCTCAACACCCGCAAGATGAACCACACGAGTCAGAGGAAGATACTGATGACGAGAATCCTTTCCATCACCTAAGGGATAATGAAAGCTCATCATCAACAGAAAAAGTTCATCGTCGACAACGTCCCCAACAAAATGCTGCTCCCAAATCCACTGACCTTGGCATCAAAATCGATATTCCAGATTTTGAAGATCGCCTTCAACCCGATGAATTTATCGACTGGTTGCAAATTGTGGAACGTGTGTTTGAACTCAAGGATATTCCTGATGACAAGCGTGTGAAGCTCGTCGCCATCAAATTAAAGAAACATGCATCTATTTGGTGGGAGAATCTCAAACGCAGTCAAGAAAGAGAAGGCCACAGCAAAATTAGAACTTGGGAGCAAATGCGTTGGGAGCTCACTCGTAAGTTTTTATTTGACCATTACTACCAAGATAATTTTGTTAAATTTCATAACTTGCAGCAAAAATCTTTGACTGTGGAAGAATATACTATGGAGTTCTAACAATTAATGATGAAGTGTGATGTTCGGGAAAAGGACGAGCAAACCATAGCTCGATATCTTGGAGGGTTAGACTATGACATTTCTAAAGTTGTTCAACTTCAACAATATTGGACTTTGGATGATGTAATTCGGCTAGCATTGAGGGTTGAAAAGCAAATCTCAAAGAAGAATATCACTAGTGCTTCAAAACCGCGGGATTTTGGAGCCAACAAAGGGACTCAAGCCTCAAAAACTGTTGCTAAAACCCCTGCCAAGACTGAGAAGGAAGTCAGCTCGAGCGGTCCAGCTCAATCTAACACTCGAAAGTGTTTCAAGTGTTAAGGATTTGGCCACATAGCCTCCGACTGTCCAAATAAGAGAGTTGTCACCATTATTGGAGGAGAAATTCATGAAGCCTCAGAAGATGAAGCAGAAAAGGAGCAAAATGATGAAACTGAGTCACCCCAGCTTGAGGAAAAACTTATCCCAGCTGACCATGGAGAATCTTTGGTTGTGCGTTGTAGTCTACATGCTACCATAACCAAGGATGAAGATTGGCTTCGACATAACATCTTTCACACCAGATGCACTTCTCAAGGGAAAGTCTGCAGTGTCATCATTGACAGTGGAAGTTGTGAGAATGTTGTGTCAAATTATATGGTTGAGAAGCTAGGTCTGCCTATCAAAGATCATCCCCATCCATACAAGTTACAATGGCTACAAAAGGGAAACGAGGTAAAAGTAACCAAACGTTGCCTTGTCTCTTTTTCTATTGGTAACAGGTACCAAGACGAAGTATGGTGTGATGTTATTCCTATGGATGCTTGTCACTTGTTACTTGGTCGCCCTTGGCAATTTGACCGAAAGGCTATCCATGACGGCCATGCCAACACGTACTCGTTTGTGAAAGATGGTGTGAAGGTCAAGCTCACTTCCCTGAAGCCTGAAGAAACACTTGAAAAGAAGGATGAGGACAAGGCTTTAATCTCCAAATCAACCTTTCAGAAGTTGCACCAAGAGTCGGGAATA